TGCTGCAACATGAGGCCAAATGTGTGTAGAATGGTTCCTGGCTAAATACACTCGATATTGCACTGATTATACATATATATGAAGTTTGTCAGCTGGATTCTCCAGGTGAGAAAGATGGAGAAATATATGTCACAGTTCAGGGAGAACGAAATATGAACCCAAGAATGAAATCATTTCAATATTTTTTTTAGAGGATTCATTCAATATTTGAAAAAAATAGTCAAATAGACCAGAGGCTGTTCACGGTAATAAACATTACCTGTGAATTGTTTTTATTTTCATCTGCACCGTTTTAATGACGTAAATCAGAATTTAAAAAAAAAAAGATCTTTAGTCATTTTCAGCCCATCACTGTTACTCTCTCATATTTGGCTCCAAGTCCACGTCGTTAGTGAAAACTTTTATTTCTAAAATCATTTCGATTTGATATTATTATTCAATACCAAATCCCCTTTTTTCCACAGCCATGTGTTTTTGTGCTCCATGTCTGTGTCAGACTGATTGATCTTGTTTGACTATGGACACATCTAATCGCTTATTCACACAAACCTCTGCTCCCCAGCCAGTGAAATTAGAGCTGTAACCGCAGCTACTCCTCCTATGAATCATATGGACTCACGTGTGAGCGATCAGATGATACATTTTGTCATTATAAATTTTCAGAGCTATATAGTTTATGCTTGAACTCAGCTAGGCTGTAGTTTTGATTACAAAGTGCGGGTTGCTCGTCTTTGAGGGCTCAAATAAAACTTCAGGGGCTGAATTCATACATTAGTTGTAATAAGTCACAGCGTATTAGGAGAAAATTACAAGTGATATCCCTGAATTTTTTTTGCTACATCTTGTTATACCCTATATAATGTTAGTTGCTTGCCATTTGACGATCACCGACTCCAGGTCTTGCAGATTATCCTTTAATATACGAGTACATCATACATTATAACCTACATGCTGAGTAGGCCACTGGCTCATGGCTTCCCATTTTCTGTGTGTGTGTGTGTGTGTGTGTGTGTGTATATGTGTGTGTTGTAGTGTGTTGAGGGCTGTCTGCATATGGGAGAGGAATATTTAAATGTCTTGTGTTTTAATTGACGCTCGAACTAGAAGTGTAAGCTCAGGAACGAGGAACAGCCCCCATCTACCGGCAGCGTCTCCTCTGTCTGCTCTGCACACTGCGCACAGTCCGGAGCTGCTCAGCCTGCACGCTGCACAGGGATCTCACACAGCACAGCCTCAGGTAAGACCTCTTCTACGTGTCTGCTTGGGGAAATAATAATACAGGGTAGGGTTTTTAACAAAAAAAAAAAACGAAAAAAAAACGAGGGAGGAGAGCGTGTGAAGCAATGCGCGACAGATCTGATGCATGATAAATATAGTGGCATGGGTAATAACCTCCCGGATAGACGTGGATGTGGTGGAAGGCAAACCCACCTAAACTCATTCTATCTTTACATTTATTTACGGAATATTGTAAATAAATCTTTCCAGCTTCTTGACATTAATCTTAATTGTTTAAATATATGACATAGGAGTTTGGTATCAAATCATGTAAGTTGAACGGTGCAGGGAATAATGTAAAACGACGCTTTTCTTAAAATACAGACTAATTAATTGTGTTTGTATTAGTGTCTGAGATTTGAGATTTTATTCTCTTTATTTATAAGAAAAAAGTCAGTGGTCCTAAGCCATACTGGCTTCCCTCGCCATTTTAAACATGGCTGTTAACACTGTTTTTGTTTTTATTTTCTCTCTCTCCCTTATTTTTATTTATTTATTTATTTATTGAACGCATCAAGGTTTAAATAGAGCCAACATGAAAAAGCAGTGGTTATTTACTATGTCGTGTTTTTAAAGCCTTCTTTTGGTCAAAGGAGATCACGAATCTCGAATGAGGACAAATCATTCTCAGAAGCTAAACGAAAAATGACACAGGATCGCCCAGATTCATTTTCTTCACTTTATTTTGAGCCAGTAATTAAATATGAAAGGTAACATATATATATATAGCCTAGATTGTTTAATTGATAGGGCTGATTTAGAAAACATTTCAAATACGAACTGTTATTTTAGCAACTTTTTTATAAATAAAAGCGTAAATTCGTGTATTAACTTGAGTTTAAAATCTCTGCATATTTCCCCCTAACGTGACTCCATGAAATAATAGGCTACAACAAAAAACGAGTCATTAGTATGTATTTATTTGCAGGTAATACGCTAATTAGATACAAAAAAAAGCAAACGAAACACAACAAAACGACAACACAAAAGACATTATTCCCTCAGCCCCTTGGTGTTCACTGACACATTGTTAAACCCACTTCAGTCAAATGAAATGTCACTGCTGGAGGCAACGGGTCAAAACACTATTCTTTATCGACATTAACGGTATGATGGATGCCTTTATAAAAAAAAAAAATATAGGAACATGCACGTATTATAATTGCATTCTACTACGTGAATAAGTCTAGTTTTTGAAATCATAAATCGCCTTTATTTAATT